TAGTGAGGGGGCCAGCAGGTGGCATGGCGGTTAAAGATGCTGGACTTCCATATGACTAACTGAGGTTCGAGCCTCGGACTTGGCAGCTTGCTTTCTTACTTTTGCTCTTTCTGTCTGTCTTTCTTTGGTCAAATTAAAACAAATAATAACAATAAATAAAGTTAAACAAAATAATTCTTTGTCAAAAATAAAAGACTAGTTATGCTGTTAAATTCAGACCTGACTTAAAAAGTGTTTAAAAATTCAGTTAAGTTATATGTGAAATTGGCCAAAATAATTTCTAGAAAAATGAATGAAAACTTCCAGGCAGAAATGCTGCCATTTATTCTTCATAATATTAAATATTTGGATTTCAAGGAAGGATAAACTGTAGACTGAATGACAAGCATTTACAATCATCTTGTTTTGTAAGATATAGTACCTGCTTAGTCTCACATTCTTTTTTTCTCCCTTATAAGAGGTAGGGTTTTGAAATTAAAATCTAATAGGATGGTCCAGTTGAAGTACTTCACAATTGAGCCATCTATTTTTGGAAGCTGTATTGTTCTGTTAAATAATTTTCTGATGACAAAAAATTGGGCAATCCTTCAGAACTCACTATTCTATCTTCAGCAGATAATGTTAATAAAGAGCTGCTTCTGTTGCCTTACGACACACAGAGGCTTAGAAAACACCAAGCATACAAAAATATTTTGCTTTGCCAGAAAATTTCTTATATAAAGGGACTTCAAAAGTTTGAGAAAAAATGTTTAAAAAAATGAAAGTTTGTAAGGATATTCCTCAGAAACCTAAGGATAGAACTACCATATGACTCAGTAACTTCACTCTTAGGTATGTACTCAAGGGATAGAAAGACCCTGTGCTGGAAAAACACTTGCTTGTTTATTGCAGCTTTATTTACAGTCGCTAGGACATGGAATCAACCCAAATGTCCAAAAGTAGATGTCTGGATTGAAAAACTGTGGCATATGTACGCTATGGAATACTACTGACATTTGATACAAAGTGGACAAATATAGAAGACTTAATGCTAAGCAAAGCAAGCCAGAGTATGAGACAGACTGTATGTCCCCACTCAATGTACAGGTTGTCTGTGCTCTATAGCAGAAAATGAAAGTTTGGAAGGTAAAGAAGCAGGGAGGGCAACAATAGATACCAGAGAAAGTAAGGATGGAGTAACTGGGAGTAGGTGATGGAGGGAGGGAGGAATGAGAACAGGGGAAGAAAAAAAAAAGAAGTATGCTTAATTGACAAAAAAAAGGAAAAGCTATTTGTGGATGATAATGTACATAGTAATGTCTTTGTCTTTACTGAAATACACGGTATTCAGGCTGGAAAAGGCAATGCTGTACCCTGTAAAGATATATGTGATTAAATGTAAATCAAAATTTAAAAAAAAAAAAAAGAATCCAACGATGCAATCATTATGCTGGTGCCTCCTTAGGTTCATCCATGTTGTAGCATGCATTAGCATGTCAGTTTTCTTTATGATGGGATAATAGTCTATTGAATGGATATACTACATTTTGTTTACCCAGTCATTAGTGGATAGGCATTTAGTTTGTTTCTACCTTTTGGCTGTTCTGAACAGTGCCACTCTGAACAATCATGTACATGTGGATGTGTACTTTCATTTCTCTTAGGTACACGCCTAGCAGAGGAACTGCTCAGTCACATGCTGACTTGATTTTAAACTTTTGAGATGCTGTTAGACTGTTTAACAAAGTGGCTGCATTAGTTGACATTCTTAGTAATACCTGAAGGCTTCTATGTATTCCCGTCCTTGTCAGCATTTGTTACTGACCACCTTTTGTTATTACAGTCATTGTAGTAGGTGTGAAGTGGTATCTTATCGTTATGATTTGTATTTCCCTAATGACTAATGGCGTTGAATATTTTCATAGACTTATTGGCCATTTGTATCTCTCTTGAAGAAATGTCTGTGCCAATTCTTTGCCCGTTTTTAACCTGGGTTATTTGTCTTTTGAGGGTTGAGTTGTAATTGCATCATCCTTTTCTGCCATCTGTCCAAATCCTTGTCATTCTGAAGAACAGCAGGCGCATGATATGAGGACCCCCCACTTCCTTGAGAATACCATCTTCTCTTCCTCCCATTAGGGCCTCCCCATCTGACTAAAAGCTCCCTCAGCACAGGGAAAAAACAACACCCATTTGTGGAAAGAGCTCTATAGCTCACTCAGGCTTTCATCCAATTTGATTCTCCCAACAACCCATGGGACAAATACTACAATCATCCCACTGTCAGAGGGGAAAGCTCAATGAAACGAAGTCACGGAGGAGGATACAGGCCATTTAGGTCCTGTAACGCCTGCCCAACTTCAAAACTGTTCCATATGCTCCCATTCCAGGAACATGGCAGATGTGCTTCACAGGACACCCAGCTCCCCAGAGACGGACGGCTCACCTCCTTCACCCGCTGCAGCATGGGCTGCAGCCACTCGGTGTTCACTTCGCAGTGGCTATCCAGAAAGGTGAGGACAGCAGCTGCAGCCACGTCTGCCCCACGAACTCGGGACCGGATCAGCCCTGCAATGGGAGCAGACAGGGGTTGGTCCTGCACTGACCCATTCCTCCTGGGCAACAGCCAGTCCAGCCTTGGGGGGCTGGAGTTTCCCCTGGGTTATTGTGATTGGATTTTACTGTGAACGTCTGTGTGTCTCCTCCCTCCCTCCCTTTCTTCCTCCCATTCATCCATCAACCACCATCATGCCAGGGTCTTTCCCCAAGAGCCCTCCATGGGCTGGACGTCGTTCTGGCTCTAGAGACTCACCAATGAACAGTCAGTTTAGTGAGTGGAAATTGCAAAAAAAAAAAAAAAAAAAAGGTTTGGCCCTGAGG